ACCATGCACCTCAGCTGTGAATTTTAACACGCCAATTGGACACGAGCTCTGACTCTTAATGAACCAATAGACGGCTAAGGAGCGGGACTAAGCAGGTAAAACGCAGAAGAAGAGCAGACACAACAAGGGGGAGACGGTACAGAGGAAAACAGGAAAAAACAGCAGGTAAGGAACCAGAGGACTGCACCGGACAGACAGCGGAGAACAGCGGAAGAATCCCTCTGTCTGAACCCCTTTTGGTGGTTAAACAGTGTTTTAAGCTCTGTTTTAACCCTCATTTTAGACTGGCTCATCTTTAGCTATGGTGTTTTTAGGTCACTGCTGAATTCAATGTATTATTTATTATATTTGAGCCTAGAGCAGTTAATGTGGTAAATTTGTGGGGAAAGCACAATAAATTGTTATTCACTTGTATAAAATCCTATTCCCCCCATGCTTATTACAGTGACATCTTTCTGTTATTTTGTCTGTACTGTGTCGAATTGTGTGCTAGTTTGAGCATTTCAGCTTTAACTAATTTATTCAAATGTTGGGCGGTACCGAATAGAGACACTGGCCTTTCTATTAAACTATGGAGATGATGTATTGTAGTGTGTGTAGTGTGTGTCAATGTAGGCAGGCAGCGCCACGTGTAACTGCCTGACATCATCTTCAATCTGACAATGCAATCACCTTCACTTTTACAACTAAAAAAGTTGTAAAAGTGTTTGGGAGTATTCTGGGTTTAGTCTCAATTGTAGAAATGATAAAGGTTTAATTAGGTTTTTGTATCCTCCTCCTTTCCCCTTTAAACACAGGATAGAAGTAGTTTTAAAATAAGCACTTTTTACTGCTTCTGTTCAGATTTAGATTCAGTCTATGGAGCTGCTGATTCTACAGAGTTCCCCATGTCAGTAGACGGACCCTCTTCTGTCCTCTGTATTAACGTCATAGGTCCTTTGTCGTTTTTACCAGGATTGAAAAGTGGGAAAACTTCACCTGTGAACTTAGCTGTTAAAGATCCAATGAGCCTCTCCTGTTCCACATTATAAAAGGAAAGCTCTCCTCTGTCATAATCCAAATACACACCAACCGTCAGCGGTCTTGAAGAAACAGGCAGTAAAACCTTTGGTTCTGTGCTAAACTGAAAGTGATCTGCACTGTCAGGGGAAGAGGACAGGAACCAGAAACCATTAGAGGCAGTTGGAGTAAAATCTGACTTCTCAGGGAAGGCAGTTGCACTCGTAACTCCAAGCCACCAAGACTCTTTGGGGCGTATACTGGCATTCCCCAAAGATACCTCCCAGTAGTGTTGTCCAGAAGAGAAGCTAGGTGTTCCTTTGATCGCTGTGAGACAGGTAACCTTTTTTCCGTCAGGAAAATCCTTAAGTGGGACGTCTCTCAGCATACAATCCTTGATTTTGAGATAATCATTTACTGTCTTGGCAAGTTTAACATTTTCTGTTGAAAATTAAAAACAGTATTAAAATGAAATCAGAAAAATTCAGGTATGAGAATTACTGGAGTAAATAAATGCTATTTACAATACATTCTTAAGTGATTACCATAATGCATCTTGGCGGTTGATAGATCTGTTGACTGGATCACCTCTGTAAAAAATAAATAACAAATGTATTCAATACTAATAAAATTATCTCACTTTAACTTTAAGAACAGCAACAGAGTTACTTCTTACCTTGTGGTAAAAGATTGTCAGTCTCTGGGGAAAGAAATGCACAAATAGCCACTGATTATACACATGAAGTTCAATTTCCTTGTAATAAGATGTACTATGTATTTTGGGAAATGTAGGATTCAGTGTTTTTGGAGCTTGACTCCGAGGTGCATTTTAAGTTAGCCTTCACATATGTTTTTATACTATACTATACTATAATTCTATATTGTATATTATATACTATATTCAATCTAATATGAAATCACTGGAGCACCTAGCTATGCACATAGCAGGAACTTTCATTGAAATGTTGTGTAAGAATATTAAATTATGTGTTTAATGTGACTCTTACCATCAGTTTGGTCACCTCCTGATTTACCTGAAACATAAAAGAACATTTTCAGGATTTAATTTCACTAGTTTTAATGTGATATTTTACTTAATTTGGCCAGTGAATTTATTAGTATTATATGGTAGTATATCATTGTATGCCATCTAATAAAGCCAGAGTCAGAGTTTGTACACTATTGGAAGTATTTGGAATTAAGAATACATTGTAGTCATCTGTGTCTGTCATCACTTTTTAGGATTTTATTCATTTACTTAAGTTAAAAAAAAACAGATAACAAACGTACCGAAAATCGAATATTTGCATCTGTTTTTGAAGAAAAACAGTCCAAGTCCAGCTAACACGGCTATGAGGAGTAGAGCGAAGGCCACCCATCCACCCGCTGAGGATCCAGACTCTAAACAAAAAAGCAAGAAAGTTTGTATTTTTGTGTGTCGTTCTAAGCGAAATAAGAATAAAGTAAACTCAGCTGTTGCAAATAATTCTCTTTACCCTGTTTAGCAGGTGTGGAAATGTTTTCCAGGCGTACTTTTGCCTCCTTTGTGTCTTTATCAGAGAGACCTACTGAGCAGGAAACCTCTGAGGGGCTGGAGACGAGAAGCCAGCTGTGGACTGACATAAGACCAGAAGAGTCTTTGCTATTTTTCAGACTTTTCGGGCTGAGAACCTTCCCTTGATGCAACCAGCGCAGACTAGGTTCTGGATACCAGCCTCCAGACTCACAGCTCACATTCACCATGTTATCTTCTTGCCACACTACTGACAGAAGAGGTAGGGTTCCCGTATCTACCAAAGAGAGACAATAACAGAAGGTGAAGCATCTGACGTAAAGTTGACGAGAATTTTTAGACCTTTAGATTTGTGGGTTTTTCTTTCACTCACTTGTCACACTGAGACTGATGGTCGCACTGTCATAACCCTGATCACTGCTCACATAACAACTGTAAACTCCCGCATCCTGAAGTCTGGTATTTTCCAGCTTCAGGCTCACATCACCTCCCTTCAGACCTCCAGACGATGAGTCCTTTAAGCCAAACGAGATCCGGCCCACGTATGAAGCTTCCTGGGATACATTCTGGAACTTCTTCGCCCTGTAAAGCATGATCGGGCTGTCGTAGTGACCACTGCGGTACCAACGTACCTCCAGGCCCTCCGCATTTTGTGGAGGATTGAGCCAGCATGGTAACGTGGTATCGTTGCCGAAGTGCACTGAGACAGAAGACCTGACCAGGACCACCAGGGGATCTGAAACTGTGAAATGGACAACATGAATATTGTTGATAAAGTTTATGTTTTTGGTAACAATAAAGATAAATACCATTTATCACACATGTACTAAACGAAGATTGGATTATCTGTTTATTACTTTTATAGTGACATCTGGCCTGGGAGACCCACCCTTATGGATAAGGGGGTTTTCCCTTATCTGAATCGAGGGTCTAAGGACAGAGGGTGCCCCTTTCCTTGAGAGATATATATAATAAAATTTGACTTGAACTGAATTAGACTTGCCATGTTTCTTTCAAAGAGGACACAAATCTGTTCCACATATAAGACTGGTTAAGTTTAAAAATAAGAGCAATATGTTTACAGGTTTATAAACAATAAAAAGTGAATACATCTGAATAAACAGTGATCAGATACATAAAAAGGGGAAGAATGGTAAGTAATACATGGTGAAATACCAGCATAAGGAAAATCAGAACAGGTGTGGTGATTTAAAGAAAACAAGGACGTACCAGGTGCGGCTCCGCACAGTGAAGCCAGAGCAAACACAAAGCATGTCTTTATGGTCATCGAACCTGTGAAAGAATACAAATTATGACCTAAGGCTATTTGCGTTTAACCAACTGTAACGTTAGCACACACAATCGCTATCCAACAGCAGTAAATCAACAGCTCTATTAACAACAGAACGAAAGCGTAAATGAAAACGCACCGTGATTCATAAACCCAGCGAATTCAAAACTACATACCCATCGTGCTGTAACTCCAGGTCGAAATATCCTCTAATCAGCTCCAGGTAATAGTGCGCAACGACAGAAATTAGGAGGTAATTCACATTTAGATGTAGATTTGAAGTCAGCTTTGGCTTTTTAATCGTATTTTGTGCAAAGCCACGTTCGGGAAAGGCTTTTCTTCGTCACCAGCTAAAAGATTCACTTTCACTTTTGAAAGGGCGTCACACTGGCGCAGGCACAGTGAGGGAGATTCAAATCTAGAAACAGTTTGTAGAGACCTGGAATGTCCCTTCTTGTAATTTACAATAATCTGCACATTTATGTCATTACACCCTTAAATCCACAAACATCCCGGAGTATGGAGTACCAAAGAGTTCAATATTAAATGAATAAATATGAGAGAATGAAATAACTAATCATTTGAATAAATATGAGTAGAATAGTATAATAACGAACTAATTTAGGGAATTAACAAAAGTGAAACCACAATAATGATAATAAAGAGGGTTTTTTATTTTATTTTTTATCATTTCTTTATTCACTGTATTGTATCATGTCATTCATTTGTTTTATAGGAAACCACCCCTATATAGAAACAGAAGGCTTGTGGATTGGGGGTATTTGTCGTCCACTAAAATGATCCGACTCCCAGACAAGTCTGACATATCACCTGTGTTGGGCTAGTTTTTGGTGAGACAGCACAGACATTTATTTGGAGTAGCCTCTAAATCAGCCATTTCCCTCAATACACTAGATACGATATAGTGTACAAGACATGATCCAATTTGTGTTTCAGGTAATTGCAGGCTTGTCTGAATCCCCCAAATCACTATTCTATACTATTTGTTTTATTGTTCCCTCAGTTCATTGATTCTGTTAAAAAAAAACACAATACATGTATGTAAAATGATAGATGGACGATGTTAAACAACACAGATGTTCCAGATGTGCCACTATGGGACGGGAGTGTTTATATTGTTAGTTAATTCTCACGTGAGAGCGATAACGTCAAGGTAGACCGCAAACGGCAAAATGGGCCCGGATGTGATGAGATACTGGCTTCAAAATACATGCGTATAGTTGGTCGTGGTTGGAAAATAAAGGGGTATGTCTTAAGACTGTTCAATATTCTTGAGAAAAAAACGTATCTGAATTAGTTCGTTAAGTATGAACAATCTACTGTGAACGAAACCAAAATATCTGTTTAATTCAATTCTGATTTATCTTATTGTGAAAAGCCAAACCGGAAGTTACCATAATAACTCTTTTTGGTATGACAGTATGTTAGCTGTCTGGTTTCATAGTCCAGTTTTGGAGCTTTTCAGTGGCGTACTTTCGTTAATTTACTTCACCGTCGATTGTAAACTACTCCACTTTCACATTATGTGTGGTGTTAGTTAGGTAAGCGTATATGTAAGGATGTACAGTGTTAGTTTGAGGTGATAACGTTGGCTGAAAGTATAGTTAGCTCTCCAGAGCCCTTTCGGAAGAGTTGTAGTTATCGTTAGCTGTGTAGTTCACTGACCCTCGGCTACATGGCCACTTAGCAACGCTGTTTTACATCTCCACAGTCCGGGGAAGCGTCAGAACTTTAGGGCATTACTGTTTTTAGCAAACATGTCTCAACTCGTTGACGATACCACTCCGTTGCTCGCGGATGACGCAAGCAGGTGAGTGCAGAGTTCAATGGACTTGACAGGTAACCTCTGTGACCTCAGCTGGGGTCGACACAGGGAGCTGCGGAGGATCAGATACTACCAACCCTGTACTGCATGTGGTCTGTGCATTATGTAAACCATGTGGGTCCCATTGGTGTGCTGTTTAAAGGGCCTGTGGTGTTCGTGAGCCTGTATAAATAACCTCAAATCACCTGTGCTGTCTTGTCACATGGCCTGTGTACAGTGATGACTCTCAGGATGAAGATTACAAGAGTCGGTGGAGGTCTATCCGAGTCATGTACTTCACCATGTTTCTGAGCAGTGTCGGTGAGGATGCCCCAGATTAAAGCTTTAAGAGCAATGTAGAAAGTCCAGTCAAACCAGCTGAATAAAACACACACACACACACACACACACACACAGCAGGAATGATGCTTTTTAATGTTTGTCTAGCTTTGGATCGTTGACAGCATGTGAAGCACCTCTGTTGTTATGTGCCCTTTCAGGTTTCACTATTGTCATCACATCCCTGTGGCCGTATTTGCAAAAGGTATTTATGGCGTTTCATTTTCTTTCTTAGAGATTCTTGGCTGATACTGCTGCCAGTAATGCAAAGTAAGGGACTTTGTTTTTGTTGTTCTTGGTAGGGTAAACAGGAAGTGAAAGAAGCACAAAGGAAGCTTAGGGCACTTTATTTTGGATTTAACAGAAGTACTTGCCGTGTACATTCAAACGAAGCAGTGAAGCATTTCTTAAAACTACAGCTGGGTTTCCAAACTCATGTCAAAGACCCCCGCAACAGATGCACATCAGACCCCAGTTTGAGAGTTGCTTTTTTTTTGTTTATTATTATGTTTGAAGATTATGAAGTCTCCATAATCAATCAATGATCACACCGGGATCACTATAAGTTACAATCAATAAAAGCAGCCTACCCTGATTCTCCCCTTGTTGTTCAAACTTTCAAATATAATAAAAGGGAGAAAAGTTTATATATATTATATTCCTCCTTTTGCTGGGGACCCCCTATAACCCATTCAAGGACCCCTATTGGTCTCTGGACCCCAGTTTGAAAACCACTGTACTAGGGAACACTCTGGTTCTGTGTCCAATGTAACCGTTGTCTTGTGTATTTGCATTGTAGCAGTGTCTTAATGGTGTCATATTGAGCGGCCACTGCAGGGTCCTCCATAGCACAGCTCATGTTTTCACATGTTTTGGTTTCTTTTAGATTGATGATAGCGCCAATGCCACTTTCCTGGGCTGGGTGGTGGCGGCCTACAGCGTCGGTCAGATGGTGGCCTCGCCCCTTTTTGGCCTTTGGTCCAACTACCGGCCACGCAGGGAGCCACTGGTGTGCTCCATCTTCATCAACGTGTCAGCCAATATCTACTATGCCTACGCATACCTGCCGCAAACCAATAACAAGTTCCACATACTCATGTCCAGAGCCTTCGTGGGCTTTGGAGCAGGTGATTTGCGAGGGCCCGAATATGCTTTGAATGATTTATATTCTGTGTTTTGTGGTTTTTTTTGTGTCATATAATGGTCTTTGGTCGTTTCATGGCAGGTAATGTGGCTGTGGTGAGGTCCTACGTGGCTGGAGCTACATCACTGAAGGAGAGGACCAGTGCTATGGCGAACAGCAGTGCCTGTCAGGCCCTGGGTTTCATCCTGGGACCGGGTAAAGACGGCTATATTCTGTTCATAGTGTGCAAACCAGCCCTGTTCGTTTTAACACTTGCATATCTCTGCATATGTTAGCTCTGCAGGCATGCCTGTCGTTCATTGGTGAGCACGGTGTGACGGTTCAGATCATAGACCTGCAGCTCAACATGTACACGGCTCCGGCTTTCCTGGCTGCAGCTTTTGGCGTGGTCAACATCCTGCTGGTTGTTCTGGTGCTGAGGTGAGGCTTTCCCTGCGTGTACATGCAACGAGCGCATCAAATAGAGATCCACATGCTGTTTACTCCGACACCACAGTCGTAGATCCTTGGATTTAGCTTCACTGCTGTCATTTTATGTAAAAAGAAGTCTCTCAACGCTGTTTAAATCACCTTAGATGTCTGTTGTGATTCTTGTTAACAGAGAGCACCGAGTTGATGACCACGGAAGACACATTCGAGCCATCAACTACACATCAGAAGGTATTTACTGTCTTACTCTGAAATAATGTACCAACAATGCTTGTAGTACCACTGAGAATTATAGAGTCCAGATAATGAAGTGAATTTACAATGTTTGTAGTGTTTGTTGCAGGATATTGGTCTTTGTGTTTTAGCCTTTATCATCTTCTTCCCTTTTCTGTAGACAGACTTGACGTTAGTGAAGAAACTGAGGAGACCATCGATCAGGTAGCGGTCCTGACTTCCAACGCCCTCTTCTTCATCGTCATGTTCATCTTCGCAGTCTTTGAGACGTATGTATTTCATTACGTATTACTGAGGCAGCCGCGTTCGAATACAACAAAGACACTTTTATACTCATTTGTGTAAAGTTTTAATATCTGACTTTATATTTTTCAGTATTGCCACCCCGTTGTCCATGGACATGTTTGCTTGGACGAGGACAGAAGCTGTGTTATACAATGGCATCATCATCTGCTGCATTGGATTTGAATCCATACTGGTGTTTATAGTTGTAAAAGTGGCTTCTCAAAGGTACCCGCCCGCCCTCATGCAGTATGTATATTATAGCTTCAGCAGATTTGGTTATAATCTAGAAGTATGTTTATTTCCTTGCAGGGTCGGGGATCGTCCTGTGTTGCTAGCAGGCTTGGCCATTATATTCTGTGGCTTCTTTATTCTGCTTCCATGGGGAAATCATTACCCTAAAATCCAGTGGGCAGGTATGCACTGTTTTAGTTTTTTTTTTTTTTAACAGGATTTTTAACATCCTAGTGGTGCCAACTCTAAGGGCCTGCGGGAATACAGCTGAGCGTTAAATTGTTGAAAAAGTAGCAGTCTGGCTGAGAATTCAAGTGTTCGCGTTCTGCTTTTCTTTTCCAAAATACAGACCTGAAAAACAACTCTTTGGTCAGTCAGATTTCTAAAGCCACTATAGCCTCCAACAGCTCCTCAGAGCCAACAGGCTGCCCGTATGAACAGACCTGGTGCCAGTATACCCCCGCCATCCACCTGGCCCAGTACATCTCAGCTGACATCCTCATCGGGGTGGGATACCCAGCCTGCAACGTGATGTCCTACACACTGTATTCCAAAATCCTCGGACCCAAACCTCAGGTGAGGAGACTGTAGTAGTGTTTTGAAAGATAGAAATGATTACTTTGAATGTGCCCATACATCTCTCTGTTAGACTTTGCTGAACACCAGAATGTGTTTACTGTTGCTCTCTGCAGGGTGTGTACATGGGGTGGTTGACAGCCTCAGGGAGCGGGGCACGGACATTGGGCCCGGTCTTTGTCTCCCAGGTCTATACCATCCTGGGACCCCGCTGGGCCTTCAGTCTCATCTGTGGTATGGTGGTAGGCGCCATCGTCCTCCTCAGCTGTCTTTACCACAGACTCATCGCGTTTTCTGTACGCCACGGAAGGGCTGAAGAATAACAAGTCAAGATTCACACTGGGGAGACTGATGGCTGTTTTTATTCTCAAAGACTTCAAGCCAGAACTGCTGTAACGACAGCTCTATTGCTGTTACTTACTTTATAATGTAGGAACTGATAAGCCTCCTATGAGAGTTAGTGACTCAGGATTGATCTTTAAACTCTAAGGCGAAGAGATAAGACCGGGTTATTACTCATGACTTGACCAAAGATTGCTGCTTCGTTAACAGGGAGCTACCACTGCGGCAGCACTTTTACTCGTGTGAAAGAAGCCACGTGACGCCTTTTTCATAATCTTGTATGGCATCGCCTCGTATGAGGTGGGTCCATGATATCAAACTGATAATGATTTTAAATCGAGTTACTAAATATTTGTTACTGAAAGCTCAAGTTTTATGTATTTGCATTATTGGTCACAAAGATCAATTAATAATAATTTTAATACACAGACTACTTCAGCAAAGCCCCATGTCTTTGCATTAAATTCTAATATTAATTTGTGAAATCTACAAGCACAGGAGCAACCATGACCTTATTGAAGGTACTTGAAAACAAATCCTATCAAATTGTTTGATATTTAGTTTGTCATTTGTCATTCATTGGACATTGTGACGTTCCCTGTACTTTATATACTGATTGAACATATTTTGAAATTGTTATTTTGCTTTTAAAGTGGAGAATATGAGAAAGGTTCAGTTCAGTTTTATTTTGCAATGATTGTTGTTGTGCCCAATGTGACCCTTGAAAGAGAAGCAAACATTGCGTAAATGGTTTAAATGAAACATTTCCAGTGACACATTTCCACATTCAGCTGTTTTCCTATAAAGAATATAATGATGTTATATTTTTAAAATATTGTTCCTATTTCCGTTAAAGGCTCCACTTGTGGTTGTTTCAGACTACAGGTTGTTGTCTACCTGAAATCATTCAGAAAGATATGTGTGAATGTGTGGATGCTAATGATTTTGAGTGATGCATTAAACATTTAATGTGATCTTAGATTCTCATTGTCACTTTATTTTCAGTTGGCTCAGGACTGATGAAGCAATCAAGTAAGAAAATACTTTTTGTGCAGGATACAACATAATACACTGTGTGTAAGATTTAAATGTTACAGAAGCACAAGAGACTGCCAAAAAGGTATGAAAACTACACTAAGAGCTATCCACATGAAATTAAATAACATTTAAAAACGTACATACATTCTTAATTAACATTAGCCTGTAAATAAATAAATTGTACACGTATATATGTGCAAAAGAATGAGTCTAGTAGTCCAGCTGCAGAAATATTATCGCCTTTATTTGGGTCTATACTCATAATATTATATATACTGTCAACGGGCTGTGAATTTCCCCTTGGGGATGAATAAAGTATCTATCTATCTATCTATCTATCTATCTATCTATCTATCTATCTATTACACAGTAAATGAATTGTAAGGGGGTGTCGCTGTATGCGCATGCGTCCGGCAGGGGGAAGCAGAGGAGCTTTGCCGAGAGTGGGAAGTTGTGTCACAGCGCGCATGCGTACAATAAAAGGCAAGTTGCGTCCGGTGCGTTCAGGAGCTGCAGAAAGTTGAGGAGAGTCTGCGAGAAACATGAACGCGGGCAAAAGTTAGAGGCTGCTAACATTAGCGTTGAACTAATGCAAGTTTGCGTTTAATAAAGTCGAATTTACGAGTATATGAAGCTGGGTGAGGGCGTGTATTACTAAACATGGATATGTATACAGACGAGACGGGTAAGGAAGTGTCTGTTTTTACTGTTACAAGAAGTTGGAGGCTACTTGAGCTAACAGGCTAACTTGCTCGGATTAGTTAGGTGAAAGTTACCACTAACTAAATGTTGGTTTTACTTAACGCCGATGCTGAGATAATTTACGTTGTTTGGTTGTCTTCTTCTTTTCAGAGTTTAGAGATCTCGGGATGTTCGTAAGTACACATTTTCTACGTTGTCCTCTTTGATGTGCGGAGACCTCGGGGTGTAGAGCTCATGGCGCCCACATGTTGGCATTTTGTGGGTGGCGATAATGTCGCTCAGATAATATGATGCAGCAGCAGCAGCCTGTAATATCGCAGTTATTTCATCAGACTAACTCCGTCTTGCTGACTAATGTGTTGTTTTGAGTGTTTGGATAGTTCACGTACTCACTTCCTGTTTATATTCTGCATTGCCGAGTCTTCATGATACTAAACAACAACAACAACAACACAGTTGGCTTCACAATATCTGATACTCATATGAGTTAGAAAACATTGCTATATTAAGACCTACGCTTAGCATCATTACAGCAGCCACTTGGTTGCAGATAATACATTGAATTTCCATTGCAGATAGAGTTTTATTAGCATGCTGAATGTTTGACCGGAACGCATATTGATTATAATAAAACATTTGCAAAGCCTCCTGTCCTGTGTTCAGTGCTACCATGTTTCCATTGGGTAGCGCCATCTTCTAATTACATTGGCTGTTGCTTTTACAGCTGATACCCACTGTGACGTGTACATCCTGCTGTCTGTCTGTGGCTTGTTGAGCACTACATACAATGTCAGGACTGTCTCTGAACAACACCCAAAGCAGTCAACAATCTAGATCACACAGTCTCACGTGATTACACCGTTTATTTCTTGGCCTTGTGATGAAACCAAACCCTCACTTTAACTCTGTTTACATGCTTTATTGTTTCCCTTCCCCAGGATTCTTCTCATCGCAGTGTTTTCCACGTGTGCCTGACATTACTGCAGGTCACATATCATGTAGTTCATGACTCCATTACAGCGAATTACTTTAAAGGGTAGGCTTAGCTTTTAGGATGCAGACGTTTTCAGCCAATTAGATGCAGTCTCCTGAAAAGCGGTCGACAGATATTAGTTTTTAAATGGCTGATATCAAAACAAATAAAAGTCACGCGTGGTTCTATTCTACACTAAATTCAGGCATATGCTTACAGCAGGATCGGAGAGTTGTAGTACAGGGTTCAACTTTTTCACCACCTTCCCAAAACTCACAAAGGGGAGTGCTAACATCCTTCCACAGTAGCCACACTGACAAGGCTGTCTGTACATGGACATGTATTGGTAATCTGCCTCATGAGTATCGATATCGCAGATACTGATTATCTCAAAAGGCCAGATAATCGTCAGACTGATTAATCAGCCTATCTACTCCAGAGCTGCATTTACTGTTAGTCAGTGCAAGGGAAATACCTTCTCTGCTGATGATTCAGTGACTCAGCTCACACTGAGTAAATGAAAGTGAAACTTAAGGAGGCAGTGCTTCAGTGTCTGTGAACTCCATACAGCCCGAGGTCACAGTCAGTGCTGGCATTGGCACGTAGTATGTAGGAAGATGTGAAGTTTTAAGGGTGAAGGTGCTGAGCTAATCTGATGGTTGTAAGAAACTACGCGGAACTGACCTTCAAATCCCTCCTTCTCTTGTCTAGCAAAGGGTTGTGGATATGTTTGAGAGTCGGCCTGGGTTTCAACGGATTGTAAGACTCGGCCTCCTTGGTAAGAAGACATCACATTACACGTTTGACACACACAAGTCTGTTTCTGTTTTTTTTTTTTTAATTTATTTATTATTTATTCAGGATTCAGTTTATGAAACATGTTGTCAAACTTATAAAATGTTCTCTTTCCTAGCTGAAATGGACTACAACGATGACCTAGATGATGCAGGGGAGGATGTTTATGAAGATTGGAGAGATCGTGGTCATACTTCCCATACATACCCAAGGCTCTCTGACAGAAGCAGTGATAAAGGATTAAGTGGGAACCATACAAGGTCACCCACCTCTATTTATCAGGTTCCACTGCGTTACTACGCCTCAGCTCGTGATGTTCCTCACCCACCTTCTGTAAAAGATGAGGCGAAGGAGAGCGTAAGTTCACTTTTTTATTTTGTCAAGTTGGATGATTTCATTTTTGATGTGAAGTGATTCAAATCTATACAATGTTTTTTGCAACTCTTAGGATACTGAAAGAAGAGCCAGATTATTACAAGAAGCAAAAAAAAGCAAAGGAAAGGCTGAAAAGAAGCGGCTTAAGAAACAGGTAAATACTGCAATCTCCAATATGAGTTTCATACTAATGAGTGAATGTCAAATTGTGTCAATTTAAACTTCATTGTGTGTATTCTTGCCCAACAGAAACGGAAGGAAAGAAAACGGCTTGAGAAGTTGGAGAAGGAAAAACAGAACCCTGTAAAAAATGAAGAGGTAGAGACCATTTGTGTATTGCTAATAGGAAATAAATCCATGTGCACACTCAGATCTTTAACACGTTTGGTTTTGTTTTACAGGAAAAAGAAGAGGCAAAGCAATCTAAAGCAGAGGAGAGTGCACCAGTTAACGATAAATCCAATTCCAGTGTTAAAGAGTCTGCCTCAGCAAAAGATACAGACAGCAGTGATAGTAGTGAAGACGAATCCAGTGATGAAGATAGCGACACCAAGAATGACTCGGGCGACTCTGAGGTACCAAGTGCTCTTCTTATTGTAATACATACACGTGTTTATATTTATAGTGTTAATCAAAAAGAGAGGTTTGGCATCTTCCCCAAATCTTTGTGATATGTTGCTGTCTACAGTTTAATTTTCAGATGATAAACGCACTGTAATGTAAACTTGGCATCGTTTTGCAAAACATTCATGTTGAAGTTATTTAGACTGCCGCAGAATGGCCATTTTGTAAACTAACCAGTGAAATGTTTCCACCAAGTGAAGAGGGATAGTTTCAGTTTTAATATAAGTCATTCATCCACAGTTGCCAACAGGAATCACAGAATTACACAGAGTTGTGACACTGTTTATAGGAAACGCTTTAAAAATAGCTCTTGTCATTTTACAAAACGTTAAATTAAAAAAAAACTAACCCTCCTCTGTTTTATAAGGCTTAACCACTTAGGAAGGTGACTAATTGTCTGTTCCTGCTTTTATTTTTATTTATTTATTCAGGAACTGGATATGACAAGTACCTTTGTGAGTAAAGCTGCTCTCATAGCCAGGAGGAAAATAGAGCAGAAGCCCAAGCCTGAGAGGAAGGAGAAAAAGAAGACCCCAGTTAAAGAAGAACCTAAAACCGTCCCTGACAAACATAATGAGACACTGGAGGCTGAAGAGAAGGTGAAGTATCTTGTATAAGTAAGATTCTTAATAGAAATGACAGATGATTACTATTCCAGTGACTATAGATAGACCATAATTTTTCCTTTTGATATATGGGATAAGGTCGCTCATCTCATTTCTCTTACTGTCTGAACAGGATGCTGCTGGCCCTAGCGGCCCCACCTTTGAAGATAATGTAAAAATAAGTACTGATCTTGCAAGTAAGTTTTGTCCCTCTTCAGTACACAAACTCCAAATGAGTTGATCATGAGGAAATATTTATTCATATGTGAACTTTGAAAAGATTAACATTTTCTCCTTTCCCCCCACAGATACTGGAAATAGGTTTGCAAGTGCTGGAGACTTTAATATGGCTGTGAAGTATTTCACGGATGCAATTAAATACAACCCTACAGAGTTTAAGTAAGGACCTGTTCATTTACTTCATTTAAAGTTAATTTACTGATGGTTACACCACCACTGATCTTTAAGCAACATTTTAACGCCTATTTCTGTCGCAGGTTGTTTGGCAATCGTTCCTTCTGTTTTGAAAAGATGCAAGAATATATGAAGGCGCTGACTGATGCAGAGTTGTCTCTCAGCATGTGTCCAGGCTGGGTTAAAGGTCTGTTTAGGAAGGGCAGAGCTTTGGCAGGTCTAAAGGTAAATTGTTTCCAATAATAGGTGTGTGCCCAGCTATAAGTTTCATTTAGTAAAGTCCCAGTTGATGTGTAGGACGTATGCTTGTTGGTGGAAGGCAAAGTAATGTAAAAGTTACCAGCATGCCGATACCTTTGCAACAACTTTACCTGGTTTAAGGCAGCATCTAGCTCAGTTATAGATAGTAAAAATAGTTAGTAGTAATTGCGGCCCATGATCCACTGTTTGGTATAAACTATGTGGAACTATGTCCATAAAACTATTGTATGTATCAAAGTGACTAACCTCTAAAGCTAAAGTCGTTTTTCATGTGTGAGTGTTTACATTGTTTACTCCCAGTGTTTCAGGTTGGAATGACTTTGTGATCACTTTGGCCTTGTTGCAGCACCATTGAATTAAATGTCATTGCGCTGCAGAGGCTCCCATTATTTACTCAGACTTGTTTTGACTAACTGTTGCTGTAAACATTAATAACTGGGCTGATTAGTCCAGCAGCATGACAGTCAGTGAGCCTGCACTTTGATTTAGTCCTGAGCTAGCGAGTGGTGAAAGCTCATCTTTTTCTCCCCCCCTCTCTTCTTCCTCCAGAGGTATGAGGAAGCTGCCCAGGCCTTCAGGGAGGTTCTCAAACTGGACAGTTCCTGCGCGGAAGCTGCCCAAGAACTGATGCGGGTGCAGATAACACAACTAATGGTGTGTCATCGTCAATAGCAGGGGGAGCTGGGAGACATTGCAGACTAATAGATAGTAATCATTCACTGAAGGTGCTTTAACCTGGATATCTGTTTTGTTTCAGGAGTATGGTTTCACTCGAAAGCAGAGCTCAAATGCTTTAATTATTCATGGGACTGTGCAAAAAGCTTTAGAGGTTCTGTCACAATTAAACTATCAACCAGGTGAGTGTCTGTGATTTTAATATCCAGGGTTAGATTTAAATACTGCCATGCATAAGAGGAAATGAAAATGCCATTGTTTTGTTGTTTACCTGTGTACCAGTGTATATTTCATGAAAGCTCAAATTTCATTGTTTACCTAATGCTATGTGTGAATCTGTTTGTACGCCGCACCAACACTAGTCTTTTGTGTTCAGGAGCTATTCAAAATGGCACTCTCCCACTGGCTCAAGTAGCGAATGTCAGCGGAGTCTCTCCAGTCCTTTCAGCCAAAACAAACCCTGGTCCTCCTCAGTCCCAGGACACACCAAATACACCATGTAAGAACAAGCCTTTAGACCCAGTCCAGAATATGTCGAACGTCAAGATTCAACCGAAACCTATTCCAAATCAGGCCATGAAGAAAACCTGGCTACCACAGTGAGTGCAGATTCAAAGTAAAATGTCTACTTCTTCTCTTCATCTAGAGGGTTAGCATCCCTGCTGATCATTACGTCTTGTTCTCTGTGTAGTTAAAGCATCTGGCACTGACAGTCTATAGCTGTGTCACCTGTATGTTTTGAATGTACATAACAAAGACATACTTGGAGGGGGTGCAGATCTTTTAACGCCAAAGGAGTTAAACATGTCATTTTAATGTTCCCAGCGCTAGTAGCAGCACTGTAATGCCTCAATAATAAGCAGTACAGAAAACAACTTGAGGTTTTGGTGCTATATAATGGTTGCACTGTTAATGCTTCTCTGTGTGAAGGGTAAATGGCTGCTGTTTGTATGTGTGGGATTAGCTGATAATTCATTTTCATATTGGGCAAGCTCAATTAAGCACTGTACAGACAGTATACGTACGCTTAACGGTATTGCTTCTTGTCTAATTAGACAGTATATTCCAAGAGAACGGAAAATCATTGAATGCTTTCATGCAGTTCAGACTTTGTGTTATGAATGATGGTGTTTTTATCTACAAAATAACAACCAGGATCTCTGCATAGGTTGTGTCACATAATCGGTCACCTTAATTCTCTTTCAAATCTGTTCAATTAATCAATGTGTTGTGTCAACAGGGAGCTGTTTCCAGTTTGGGTGGGAAACTTGGTTTATCCAGTAGATGAGGACATGATAACCAACTTGTTTAACAAGTAAGAGAACATTGAATCACTCTTCTGTTTTTAGTGAGACACTAAAGCGGATTTTTCACATTATGAATTACAGTTTAACCCTTTGTAGTAAGTGATTATTTACACTTCTCTTCTCTGTCAGGGCCGGAGAGGTCTATAGTGTGAAGGTTCTGGCTTCCAAACGATGTGCCTTCGTAAACTTTACCAAACAAGAGTATTGTGACGAAGCAATCCAACGCTTTCATGTAAGCACACTCTGGACTCTCACCAATGCGCTACATTACAGTGTTTACCACTACAGACTTCATGGATACTGTAATGGGTTGCAGTCTCTCATGAGGCCAGTTGATGATGAAACAGGAAACGCCCCAGAATGACCCGTATTCAGGGCTACAAGAAATTGTAGCAGAGTTGGAATGAAAACCTACATTTTTAATTTGGCTGCTCTTTATATTTAGCATTTCAACTAGTTGTGACTTTCTAGTAAGAATAAAACTCCAGAGACCGTCAACTGTTGCTCTCCAAGACTGGTGACATGTTTATTACATTTTACTTGTTTCAGCTACAACTGCCTTACTGCATTAGTCCTAATGAGCCCTGCTATCTGGTCACTGTTAACAACCCTGAGATAAGCCATTATCGCTCCCTCTCCTACGTGCACACAATGGAGCAGTAGGTCTCTGCTGTCTTCCAGCCTATTGATAATTACTCCTCCTATAAAATGACTCTGTTTTCTGTTGACTTCTTCAGGGCTTTGAGCTGAATGGCATTAGGATTGCTGTGAGATACCCAGACAGGATTCCTCAAGGTATGGGCATTTCCAAATCTGCCCTCAAAGCAGACGACCTGCAAGACGAGAATGTGGGGTGAGTGATTTTTATCTGCTTTCTTTCCTGGAGTTAGATGAGACGATTGACACCACTCTGACATCTGTCCAATAAGTCCAGACATGGTTAGCTTAGCTTTTGTTAGCATAAGGAGCAGAAACCGCTCTCTCAAGGTGACTGAGTTACATGTTGTCACTAATTCTTGACATTTTTTCCATCTGCCCAGCATTTCTGTGCAGTGTCTCTCTGCTGGTAGACTAGTTACAGCATATAACTCCTTACATTTCTCTCTGTATAGATCAAACAAACAAGATGCAACATTTTACATTTACAGTGAGCTTTAAAGTGGCTAATAAGCATTTATCTTTATCAGACTGAGCCAGGCTAGCTGTTTGACTCTCCCTCCAGTCTTTTTGCCTCCAGTATGGAGCTGGAGCCAGGATGTGATTAACTGAGCATAGATAGAGAGGTGGTGACAAGCTTTTTAAGAAACTCTCAGCAAGAAACCGAATATGCGTACTTCCCCAATGTTTTCTCCTTCAATTAAACCTGTGCTAGCTTTAGTCAACTGCTTGGAGTGATAACGGACTAATAACTCTTTTAAAACGTAGTTGCTGTTAATATTTAACACCGAACTATACGTACTATACTCGGAAACCCTCCTTTTCAAGCAGTCTCAGTCCAGTTGTTTGCTTTCACAGCAGCCAAACCTTGAACTTCAGTATACAGTGCCATGCACAAGTATTCACCCCCTTTGGCATTTTTCGTGTTGTTGCCTCACAACCTGGAATTAACATGGATTGTTT